AGGAGGAACTCGACCACCAGGTCCTCGCCGACGAAGCCTAACCCCTGGCCTGGGTCCAGGTTGGAGTCCGGGCTCCTTCATTACAGGCGATATCATCACAGGCCTTATTTGAATTCTAGTCTAAAGGGCTTTTAGGCTCTTTTTCAGACCCGTCACCCTGAGCTTGTTTACCCTGGGAGACCCTACAAGGAACATTTAAGCCCCCAACAACAGCGTCTTGGATCAACCAAGCTCTAAATAAGCAGTATGAGACTTTTGTTCAGTTATACGTAGTAGTAGTCTCTTATTCCTTTAAATACCAAAGTCATCCCCAAACATCCCAGATATAAAATGAAAAGATACTATCCACACAACTGTGTTCAATCAGTTCTAGTCAAGCTGTAAAGGCTGTAAAGGCCATTGGTATCAGGAATGGAAGGAATTCATTTTTACTTTATTTATGGGGGGCTCCATCCTTCAGTTCATAGCTACTTACAAGCTGAAACAACAGACAACTGCTGTCTCCTTTTTGTGCATGCATACATGCTTACATTAACACACACACACCCACACATGACAGAAGGATACATACATGCATGAATGCAGAATGTCTCACGGCTACAGCTGAAATTCATGCCTTACCTTTAGAAAAGAGGCAGCCCTCCGTATTAGTGTAGTCATCTATGCCAGGAAGTATACGTCTCCCCCCGTTTTTGCCGAGCAAATGTGCCATGATATTATAAGGCAGCCAGACGCACCAAACTGGCCAAGGAGATGGCTTGCTTCCAAAAAAGAAAATTACTTGGTAACACTGCTAACTCAGAGGAATTTAATGATGGCTAACAGTTTAACACAGTTCTTAATTAAATGTCTCTAATTAGCCTGTAATTAGCTGTCAAAGAAAGAAGAGAAGCAATCACACTTTTATCCTTAATTTCCGTGATAAAATTAGAATTTCATAATTTGGGTCCATATCAGAAATGTTTAAAGCACAGAAAAAAAAAAAAAAAATCTCCATACCAACAGAGAGAAAAAAAAAACAATTTAGAGCTCAGGAAAAGAGACGATTGAAACAAAAGGAAAGATTTCACTATAGATGAGACTAAGCAGAGGAAGAGCTATTGAGGGGGGCAGTGGTGTGTGTGGGTTTGGATGTAATTCCCCCAAAAAATTGGTTAAAAAGACACTGAAAAAACAGCAAGATTTACATCCAAACAACGTCTACATTGGTTGAAAAGTAAAAGGTAAAAAGCTGTAATTTCAGATTGTTGAGAAGACGTTAAAAACTGGGTTTGTAACGTCTTTTCAGCATCTATTACTGGACTAATGTGGGAGAAAACAGACCAACTGAACACAACCAAGTTCTCAACAACTGTTTCTAGACTAAATCAAGAATATGATAAATTGACCAGATTTAGCCTAAAAACTCTTAGCCTAGTAAATTAGCCCGACCCGCCAGCGGCCAAAATAAGTTTTGCTGCTAGTTTATCTAGCCTCGATCGTTGCCCCAGGCCCTAAATCTGCCGAGCCAATCACAATGCAGATGATTTTTGAATTTCTGGATGCAAAGCGGGCGGGGTTTTGAATG